GTTTGGCTCGTGGGATAGAGCGTCCGCCTGTGGATTCAGGGGTCCCAGGTTCGATTCCAGTCATGTGCCTTGGTTGCGGGCACATCCCCAGTAGAGAATGTGCAAGAGGCAGCTGATCGATGTTTCTCTCTCATTGATGTTTCTAACTCTCTATCCCTCTCCCCTCCTCTCTGTAAAAAATCAATAAAATATAAAAAAGAAAAATGACCTTTAAACCTGCATACAAGCATAGTAAAAGCCCAACCAGGAGTTTCACTGAAGAACATCCTATTCTAACTCCTCTTTCCCGAAAAATTTAAACTTTGGGGGAAGTGTAACTCATTTTCCCTCTGAAGTGTAATAAGGTAACTAAAAAATCAAATGTTCTCATATTAAAAGTCACTAAAGTGGCATTTGAGCCATTCGAAATCTGCTACACTAGAAGGGGGGGGGGAGGTGGAGGGGTGTAAATGAACATGATTTGTCAATCAAAGAAATCATTCATCCCAACCTGATTACTCAAACTGAGGCAAAAAGGGAAATATTGCATTAGAACTGATACTCAGTATATTCACACAACTAGGTGAGTGCGCTGAGATTACCAACACAATGAAAGCTCCGTTTGTATCTAGAACGGGAGCAAAGGTACCAGGAGCCCTGGCGTCCATTCCCAGCGCTTTCAATTGCCTCTCTGTAACATCAGACTAATCACCAAGCCCATCAGTGCCTCTCATTCCTCTTCTAGAGGAGCGGGGAGCGGGGAGCACTGCGCACTGGCTCTCAGTGTTTCTGGGTTGTGAAGAGGTGAGGTTTCACAGTAATTAGGAGGCCCCGGGCTGAAAGGAAGATTACATCACCAGAAACAAAGCCTAGTGGAAAACTACCATTCAACCGATTTTGACCCACAAGACGGCAATTTTATATGGTTCGCTCATACTTATGAAACCTGAGAACCTGGGGTAATTTCACCACAAAACAACAGGTTGCTGGATGACAAACAGAAGAAAAGGCTAAGCCAAACAAAATAATCCCCAAATAAGATCGTGTTTATCCTATTTGGGGATTAAATTAATTAAACCTCAAAAGATATCATCTCTATGGACAGTAGAAAGGATGACCAAGCTGTGGTGTATTCATACAATAGAATAGAATATTGCAATATGGTTGCAAGCAACAATACAGATGAAGCTTACAGGCAACACTGAGCAGATGTAACCAGACAAGAGCGCATGCCATATAATCCCATTTATAGCTAGTTCAAAACCAGAGGTTAGCACAGTGGTTAGCTTTGAGGGAGGGGTTATAACTAGGAGGAGGTACCAGGGTAATGAGTGCAAGAAATGTTCGACATCTTGTTCTGGGTAGTGGTTACATATGCGCAAATTCATCAGGCAACACACTTAAGACTTGTGAACCTTAATGAATGTAAGTTACACCTTAATTTTTTAAAATGATTTATGAAAAATCAGTATCTTTGAAAACACATTTGTTCCCCAACTGTCTGCATTATAATAGAAAAGCTATCCTATATAATAAGAGCTAATATGCTAATTAGACCGGATGGCAGAACGACCTTCCTGAATGACCAGTGGGCAGGGCCGCAGGGCCGAGAGGCAGAATTTCGTGCACCGGGCCCCTAGTTAATTATATCATCTCTAAATCCAACAGCACCCACTATAGTTTCTCAACTCTAAGTTGAAAAATGAGATGAAAAGATCCTACTATTACAATTCCAGGAACTGAGGAACACAACTGTATTCCAGGATTCCTAAAAATGCCACCATCCCAGCTAGGAGCACCTCATGTTACTCTGTTAGTGGCCATGATTCTTTATAACATGACACTTGTTTTTTGGTCAGAAACTGTTGTGGTGTTATTGTTTTACAGTTGAAAATACGCAGTGTTCTATAATGCCAGAAATGATGATTGTGGTGAGAGAAGCATTAAACACCATCTAGAACAGTGGCGAACTTCCCCCTGGTTTCCACTTAAGATGAACACAAAACCCCTCACCATGGCACACGTGGTCACTCGTGGTCAGTTCTGCCGCGGCTGTGCCCTGCACAGTTCCCGGACTCAGTCCACTGGAGCTTCCTTTCACGCATCAGCCCCACGCTCACCTCTCCCTCCAGACCCAGCACCTCCTCACACTGTCCCTGTGTTTGGCGAGTTGAGTTCTTCCCTCCCCTCTATTGGATACACTTCTCCTCGTCCTTCACTTCAACACCACTTGCTCAGGAGCCTCTGGGCAGGGTGGGGGGGGTCTTCAAAGCACGTGCCATGGCTGCGGCCTTACGTTTGTTATATGATGGCCTCCCCAACACTGAAACTGTATGATCCCTTACGGAGACATTGTGTTCGTCTTTGCTCGCTGCTCTGATCATGCAAGGATGTAGCAAAGGAAAGGGAATATCTGAGAGGCGAGAAAAAATATAAGATTTGAATGCCTGATGGCTGAGAAAAAGTCATACCAGTCCAGCATAAGAAAATGAAACAACTAATTGCCCTGGCCGGCGTGGCTCAGGTGGTTGAGTGTCCTGCCATGCCCCGAGAGGTCACTCGTTTGCCCGTTCGATGCCAGGTCTGGGCACATGCCCGGGTTGTGGGCTCAATCCCCAGTAGGGGGTGTGTGTGTGGGGGTGGGGTGGGCAGTCCATTGATGTCTCTCTCTCATGGATGCTTCTCTTTCTCTCCCCCTCTCTTTCTCAAATCAATTAAAAATATTTTAAAAGACGAAACAACTAGTGGTGTTGAAGACAAGTGTTAATGGCAGGTGCTTACTACTGCTGCGGGACACACGGAGCACTGTGCCTAAGTGTTTCATCCCATAAGTCCACACATTGAGCTCAAGATGACGCTGGTCTCCGGTATTTTAAACATTCCCTTTTGTTACAAAGGAGCTTCATTTCCAGATGACGCATCGATCACATCTATGTCACATACAAAATAGGGGCAGTAAGAAACCATAACTGACAGTCTTATATGGGTTCTGACAGCACTTGCTACTCATTGAATGAGCTTGATGTCTTATTTTTTATTTTTGAACAATTTTTTAGTAAAATATGGTCTTTTCAGACCAAAATTTACAGACTTGTGATAAGAACTTAAAAAACTTGAGTGAGCTACCAGATAATGTGCCACTGCTGTTAAATGAGATCTTCATGTTGAATTTGTGTCGTATAGTCTTTGTAACAGTGTTGTGCCTTTCCTAGTGGTTGGGAATGTAGCCTTCGGGATGGAGCTCAGCTGAATTGAATCTTTATCAGTAGCTGTGACCTTGACCAAGTCACTGAACTTTGTGCTGTGTTTCTTATCTGTAAAAAGGGATAATAAGCTACATAGGTTATAGTATTGGTGCGAGGACCAACAAAGTTAATCTTTTAAGTGCTGAGACCAGTGCAGCCGGTGTTAATGCTCAGTATCATTATTTTATTCAATTATTTTATTCAGCTCCTATAGAAATACTCCATGAAATAACATAAATGGGAAAAATACTTAGAATCTTTAAATTTGGATTTCCCAGGTAAATTTAACATTAAGCAATTAATTCTGCATTCTACCACCAACATTTTCGTGGCTTTAGTATAATAAACTATCTTCTTTAAAAAGCTGTGGGAAGGCACAGAAACCTTTTCTGATGTGATTTCACTTCACACAGCATATAGAGCATACACAGCACACACAACTTTCTTACTATAGTTCTCCTAATCGGCAGTTACACCACAATGCTGTATTTAGGTTATATGAAATCATGATGAATAAGTCAAAAGGGCGTAATATATCACATAGGGAGTGACTTCAGAAACATTTAATTGCTCAGTCCTGAAATAAACACCAATCAGTTTATCCTAACTTTATGGCGCTTCTAGAGCTGAAAAATCAAGTGCACGCACATTTCCATCAGTACTCTCACCCCAAATAACTAAGTTCTCCTGCTAGCCAGGACCGGACCTCCTGGGCATGAGTGAAGAGTGAGGGGAGTGTGAGGGGGAGGAGGCATGTTCTCGGCTAAATGCTCTCCATAAAGCGTCTGGCCATCCTAGTTGGGCATTCTGTATGGCCATGAAAGCTGGGCTAGGGCTCCGGAGCTATCATCCTACCTGGTCAAGCACTATGTCAAAGAAATGGGGAAACTATTCTGAAAAATGACCTGGTCAATTATTTTTAAAGAGGCTGTAAATGTGAGGCCTGAGTTGTCTCAAATGGCTGTTTGAATTTTTAATAAACTATAGAAATTCACTGCCAAATTCTCTCTCTCAAGGTATTAAACATGAAGCGCTAGATTGATACATGCACTGCATTAAATTACAGGAAGAGAGTTGAGGCAAGAGGTCTGTGTCTACTGTTTTATAAAGCTCTCTTCAGACTTCCAACTCTGCATATAAAAAAAAATCGCTAACTGGTCAGAACATCTGCTTTCTAATACTATTGTACTCATACACTCTCTCTGCAAGGATTGTTATGCCTTGGGGAAGTTATTTTAATTGATTTTACTTCTAAATTGTTACCTAATAACTATCACTCTGACAGAATCTAACTGTATAACCCTCAAATGGGGGTGTAGGGCGGGGTGGAATTTTGCCCTCCAGGGGACACTTGGCAATGTCTGGGGACATTTCTGGCTGTCACCACTGGGTAAGGGAGGGTGTTGCTCCTGGCACCTGTGGATAGAGGCGGGGGATGCTGCTAAACATTCCACCATGCACAGAACATCCCCACAAACAACTGTTCTCTATCAATTCAATGTTACAGAGCCACGGCTGGGAGCCCTGCTCCAAGACAAAAAGATGGGATGGCATTTTTAAGTCACTTTCAACATTTTCATTGTCTTTTAAAATGCAAATAACATCTACATCACATCACATTTTAAAAAATCTAATGCCAATTTAAGTGGCCTCTTAGATCTTAGATCCTGTAACTGTCTGTGCCTCCTGTCAACATAGCAATGAGATAAACCCCAGCAGTGGCATGGCCGAGCAAAATCTGCCCCCTAGTTTATACTACGGAACTGAAATAAAATAGTGCAAAATCAAGACCATGGGTATATAGAAAGGAATTTAGTTTTACACTTAAAATATTCAGAGAAAAAGTGGTTTATTAGGTACTGCAATGCCTTGAAGTGATGCCTGGTGTTAGAATTTGGCATTTCCTCTTACTCTGTTCTTCCTCAGAACACCGGACTACCATGAGCCCTGACTCGCAGAAACGTTACACAGAACCAAATGCTGGGAACGTGGCTAGAGAATTATCCTAGTATTATGTGAGATAATTTTTAAATGATTAATATCCATAGTTATTTAAAAAAATAATGAAGTCAGTAAACTTTCTGACCTAGGTATAGTACATACTAAAGTGACCTTTTAAAAACATCATCTCAAAACGCCTTACTGACCTAATAGAAGCAAGCATACAAATAAGCAGTATAAATACGGACACAGAAATGTGTTCTGGTTAGCTCTGATTTTTATGAGCAGTCTAGAAAATTATGTCCTAGGGCACTATAATGCCTACTGACATACATACTGTGTTTTGAAATAGAATTTAACAATGCGTGTTTAGACTGTGCATTTGTAGGGCCAGTAATCTGTGCATGATAATAAGTGACAAAAGGAAAAGGGACCGGTTTTCGTCCCCCTCTGCACATCGCCATCCCGCCGCCCTCCCCCCGCAACATCTCCTGGTCCCGCATCTCCGCCCGCATCTACCGTTACCTGGGCCTCGGGGCTGTCAGGACCGCGCCACCGGCGGGACAGACAGCGGCGCCCAACCTGCCCAGCGGCCTGCCCTTTCCGCACTCACCCGTCACGCGAATGGACTCCAGCATCGTCCGACCGAGGTCGCGTACGAGGTCGCGGTCAGTGACCTGGGGCAGGATAGGCGGGTAGGGAGAGACGGACACGGGGCTGTGAGCAGTGCTCCCTGCAGCACGCAGGTGACTGAAGGTTCACACCGCGGCCCAACGGAGGGTAGCAGCGTTTAGAACCCGCGCTGTGACGTGGCCGCTCCCCCGTTGCTAGGAAACGCTCCTGGCGTCCGCAGGAGCTGCGCTTCCCGGAGCCTGCGCGCCGCTGGGGGCGCTCGCGGGTCCGGGCCGGGCTCGCAGCACGAGACGGGGAGGAACTACAACTCCCGGCGTGCACAGCTCGAGTCTCCTGCGACGCACGCGTTTTGACTGATAAGCCGCACCGGCGTTTGTGCGCTGTTCAAATGGGCTTAACTGGGCAGTAGCGGGGGTTGTGACGTGAAACTCATCCCCAGCTGCGAATTGCAAAGCCAGTCTTCTCCGCCCTTCAGTTAACTTAGAAGATGCGGAAAAGCTAAAAACCTGAGGTTGAGCTGGGTAATATGAGCACCTTTTATTACTTGAGGAAGCCCAGATACATTTACCATTTGAGTGCCCCTGCAAGATATCCTCAGTGCTACAATACAAACTGTACTGATAGGACTGGTGATCAGTGTGGTCCCGTGGCCGGGAGATAATATCACTCCCCTAAGAAAAACACGCCAATGGCTTCCTGTCTTCCCTATGAGGTCCTTTATGTCCTGGTCTGCTTCCACCCCTTTGATCTCATCTCCCTCTGCTCTCGCCTCCTTGGTCCCCTCGGGGCACCCTCAATGCTCTGCAAGCTATGACAAGCACTTTCACCTCCGGGCCTTTGCCGGGTGGGATTTCCCCTGCTTGGAAGGCTCTCCCCCCAGATGCCCACGACCAGCTCCTTCACTTCTTTCAGAACTTAGTCCAAATGCCACGCCTCATTGAGGACTTACCTGGCCACTCAATTTAAAATTCCACTCCTTTCTCAGATTTCTTATCCCCCTTCTCTGCTTCATTTTTTCCCTTAACACTTAACATTATTCATTTTATTATATATTTTCTGATTTGTCTTGTCTGTCCTTAGAATAAAAT